TGACTGATTGAATGACTGATTGATTGAATGACTGACTGATTGATTGATTGATTGAATGACTGATTGATTGAATGACTGATTGATTGAATGACTGACTGATTGAATGACTGATTGATTGACTGATCAGCTTCTTTTGTTTTTTGACTGAAAACTGATTTTTTTCTACCTTTTTGAAAACGAGTCACTCGTGGACGCGTCGACTCGACAGCTCACCACAATCTCTCAGCCTCTAAAGTAAAAATGTAAAAATTGTTGTGAAGTGCTGTGTCAGGGCGGTCTGCTCCAACAGAACGAGACGGACGGCACCGGGTCGGTTCTGACACGCACGAAGCTCGGCTGGAGAATGAGAGGAGAACTCGGCTGGACGGAAAAGTTTAAACTTTTCTTACGTCAGAGGTTTTCAAAATAAAACAGGAAATCTGAATCAGGCAGACGTAAAACTAAAAGGAGCAAACATCTTCTGAAGCACATCACCCGCCTCTTCACAAGCTCCAACTGAACCGAGTGATCTGGAGGAGTCTCAGCTACTACCAGCTCCAGCTCCAGACTGCCTGAGACGTTTGTCCACAAGACTTCATGGAGAAGAAGAAGAAGAAGAAGAGACAAATCACCAGCGAAGAACAAAACACTAAGCTCTTCAACACCGTGTTGTCTCTGAGAGCATTTATATTTATGGATATGTTCTTCATCATCGTCTTCATCATGTCCCTCCGCCCACTGGAAGCTCAGAGACAATTAAAAAGAAATCAATCAGAAATATGTTAAAAATTATTACAGAACATCAGAACCATCTTTGTTCCTCACGCAGAACCGGGTTTTACAGCCGGCAGCACCCCCGTCCCATCAGCCTCAGGTTCTGGTGTAGAGTCAAGGAGGTAAAACTGGACGAGGAGTCAGGCTGATTACAGACTGGGAGGGGGGCCGTGGGGGTGGGGGTAGAGCAGGGGGTCAGGAACCGTGGAGGATCGTGGCCTTGAGGAGTTTTCGGCGCCAACCAGAGGAATTCTTTTCAACGAGAACTGCGGAGCGGAAAGGGAACTCCTTAAAGGCAGAAATCTTACATCTGAGGTTGGCAGGACCCCCGTCCCCACCCCCAGACCCCCGCACCACCACACAGGTCTTCCACACTCACAGTGAGACGAACTGGACCGGATCAGTTCTGATGATAAACAAACACAAACTGATCTTCAGACATTCATGAAACATTTTGTCTGAAGTTGTGAGACCCTGATCTGGATCAGTGGGTGACAAACAAACTTCTTCAGACCTGAAGACCCGAGGAAGAGCATGGCTCAAGTAAAACCTGCAGGACAGGAGTCCTCCAGGACTAGAACTGGACACCTCTGATCTAAAACCAATAACAAATGAAGGACAGTCCTGACAAGTAACAACCGCCTGTAAAAACACGGTCACCAGGGACCACTTCAGACCCTTTCCAAAGACCAGGGACCACTTCAGACCCTGTCCAAAGACCAGGGACC